CTGATGCAAGAGGCAGTTGTTTTTGTTTTAAGCTATCGCACGATGAGCCTATAAAATTTACACCGGCCGGCCAGACCAACATCTTTAACACGTCTAATACCGACCGTGTTTATCACAATGGGACCTCTCTGACATGTAAACTGCAGCGGGAGATAAATGACTCCTGTGATTAAGATATGTTGAAACCAAAGTGCAAACACTGACATTGTAAACAGAGGGCCGTCCTCTGTCTCTCAACTCATGTGCCGTCGTCTTCAGGGGTGCTACGTGCTCCAGCTAAGCCCTGCTTGCGTTGTATATAGAAGTAATAGTTTCCTCCTAAGATCTTGTGTAAATATGATATAAGTGTTTGAGTATGGGTGTCTTTAAAGCGCAATCAGCCTAATGAATCACAGGCTTCTGTTGGGAGCAGCAGTGGGGATGAGTAATGCTGTTGAGCTAAAACAGAATAGATTATTCTATTTTCGTCATGGGAATGTGTCGCTGCATCAAAGCCGGGAAAGCAGCAATTTATGTTTATTGTGTATTGTGCCAGAGAGACAGAAGGAAACAAATTAGCTATAGATTGGGATAGTTGTACTTGGCTTAAAGACGCCCGGGAGTAAGTACCTTGTTATTGCCAAGTGTGACAAATTTGGAGAGTTGTTGCAGCTCTCTTGTCTTGGATATTTTGTTGTTCTTGTGACTGTGTTCGACTCCTGTTGAATAAAAAGCTCCGGTGATCAAAACAATCATTTTTAGTAGCAAGCGGTATAAAAAGCCCTGTGAGCCCGGGGGGCTCCCGTTCTGCTGACTCGTTGCGTTCCACGACATCATCCCCCCCCCTCTCGCTGCGAGGGCTGCTCAGCATTCTAATTCAGAGCCTTAATTACTGTAATTGGTAGATGCAAATTAACAGCAATTGGACTTGACTGGGGTCATAAATCCGCAGCTCAGAAGTTGCCGAATTTCTGGCAATTCAGAGCGGACCACCGTCGGCAAGGGGCGCTTAACTCGCTAAGTAATTGCAAGTTTCATGAATCATAATGCTTACGAATTCCCCCTCGACACACACACACACACACACACACACACACACACACACACACACACACACACACACACACTCTGGGACTCTGCTTAAAGCCACTGGGAGTCACAGCAGACAAATGGGGAAGCCACTGTGCAGCTTTGGCCTTTCCACATCAGAAGCACCACGCGGTGCTAACGGTGTTTGGCTAATAACATTCTGGAGCCACGGAGAACGAATATCAGAACCTCAACTGAACACTTTTATGGACAGCGATGCTATTCGTGCCTATTCGCACTAAAACTCTTATCCCCTTCCACCGCAAAATGAAATGCCACAGCAAATTATGCACCCTAAGTGTTTCACACAGCCCGTGCTCTTTCACTTCAAATATACAGTAGTTGAGGTGTGCTCAAAACAAAGAACACTATAGCACATGTGTGCGTACAGCCTAATTAAGCTGGACTCGTCTGAATGAAGCCTGAGATCTGAATGAAATTTCTCCTCGGTGTGTATGTTCCACCAGGAGAGCAGAAGGCTCCGTCTCTCTTAAACACACACTTCCAGGCCCTTGCACACACACACTTCCATCTACATAGACGCCTGCCTCTGTTGAACGTGTAAGCAGACATGTATTGCATGTGATTGTTGGGTGAAATGGAGTGAAAAACAGGTCCGAGGGGTTGTGGGTTCAGGTTGGGGGTTTCGGAGTGACGAGATCCAGAAGCCGGCGGCGCTTGGTATTACCCTGCTGCTTCCTGCCCCTATTGGCCTGGGGCAGGGGCTGTGGATGGGAGGGGGGGGGGGGGGGGGGGGGGGGGGGTTGGGGGGGGGAGGGGGGAGGCCATTCAAAGTCAAGGGCCCACAGGACCCCCCCCCCTGGGCAAGAGTCTCTAACACAGCCCACCGCTCCCACACTCCTACCGCCGGGCCCGGAGCCCCGACCAGATCCCACTGCGGTTTGTTTTACAACCTTGAACCACGGTTAGCCTTCAAAAACCTTAGCTCGGTAATCAGGCTCTCCCGAACATTCCACTTTCGCTCCTTTTCAACAAGCCCTCTCACTTATTTACCCATTGGCTCCGTTCAATACGACTCTTTTAAACGCATTTCACTTTATTTTTCTTGCAATTCATTCCCCCCTATCATGCAAGCCTGGATGTTGTGTGCAGCAGCAAAGTAAATCCCTCACTGGTTTCACCTAATGCCTCCATGGCATGCAGCTGTGTGTGTGTGTGTGTGTGTGTGTGTGTGTGTGTGTGTGTGTGTGT